TGACGGGGCCTTTTGACGAGGTATTGTCTGTTGTGACACTGGCTTGGCCGTTGGTTGGCGTCTTCTTGCTCTTTATCTCCCCGTCCTTCGCTTCATCTCCGTTTGCTGCCTTGGGCGTATTCACTTCTTCCGCGTTGTTGTATTCATCGCTGATCCCCTTTTTATTAGAAGCCTGGGCCTTTGGTGTGGCCTGGAACTTGTCCTTTAGCGCGCTCCCGTTCTTGGCCTTGCCTGCGGACATGCCGTGTTGGAATTTACCTCGCAAATTTGTGAAAGTGGAACAGACGAAGAATAAGATCCAATGCACTAACACTGTCGACTATTATAAATCACAAGGAAAAAACGAAAAAATAGGGCGTAATTTAATCAGGCTATATGGGCCTAATCTTAAATGCTAAATCCCCTTCACACTGCACCATTCCGCTCCGTGCCACACCAGGGAGGGGACGATCTAACAAAAGCGGGGAGAGGGACTCGCAAAATACTTAGCCAAGCAATGCGTGCAGTGTTCCCCTAGGTATTGTGCACATGCAATATACACGTAGGGTTCAAGGCTGATAGTTCACAGCGAGACTGCCTGCCTTCTTTGGGATATGGCAAGATGCCAAGGGATGCGGCTGCGTCAGGTCCCAATGCAGGCTACATTCTTGGCATAAAGGCAGTGGCAAGAGTAACGCTTAATTCTGCGCTACGCTGACTGGACCGTCAGGGAATCCCATTCCTCCATAGGCACCTGAAATATTGGGCAAAGCATTTGGCCATATGACTACTCTATGGTCCTTGTGTGCTAGTTAATTTGAGGAGGTGTTTGGCAGCAGAAGCGGATAGGCTGACCGTCACATAGAGCCTAGGGTCCCGCCTGTGGAGATATGCATTTATTAGTAAATAGCATCCTTGGTCCTAAACAATAATTATGGTGATAGCGGGGCCACCCTAGTCGCTATTGCCGAGAACTGTAGGGTATAGTCGGGGGATTTGCCATTCAAGCGCCCAGGAGTGCCTAGGACCCCAAATTTGTGAGAAGTATTTCTTGCCAGTCTATACCATAACTCCGGCCACTGCACACAAACCAGGGAGCATCTGGCCTTGCCTAGGCCAGACTGGATCCACACTGCCCATGGCGCTCAAGCACCGGACCACGGAGGATACCGCGCGCATGTCATTGACAGAAGACCAAGAGCTGTTTAGGGAGCTGTTTGGCGACTCTGATGACGAAGGCGGGATAGACCATCATACGTATGAGGCCTCTACCGCTGGTCTCAAGCTGACCGAGATCTGCAAGACAATTAGCGTTAGAGAGACGATCCTGGATAGGGGCCATGTTGAAGAAATGTCTATTCCAGGTCTGGTCGTGCACCGGGACCTGATCCCGCCGTGGTTGTCGCAAATGCTCTTTGAATACTTTGAGAGCACGTACTTTGCCGACACGCAGTTGGTGACGGACAAGGTTGGCTCAGCTGAGGGCCCGCGGATCAACCAGGGGATGTATTTTGGGAGGTTCTCAGAGGACTCACCGTTCTTTCTATTGGAGCGTATATGTCGCGCCCATCCGGCCCTCCTCCCACCATCTGTGCTGGCCCGCGGCGGGCAGGGCTCACAGGAATCGCTCTTTGACCAGGCCATCATCAACCTGTACGACAATGGGGAGGGCATAAGCGATCACGTTGACCTGATGCGGTTTGACAATGCGGTGGTCGGGTTCTCATTTGGCGGCTCATGCGAAATGCGGTTCCGTCCGGCCACCAGGGCCGACAAGCTCAAGGCCAGTGGGGTTCACAGTGCCTCGAAAACTCCCTACAGCGACATTACTGGTACCGTGAGCTCGACCCAGGGCCGCGAGACCAGCGAGGCAGCAGCAGGCGCGTCAGAGCCCAAGGCTCCAACATACCACCGCATCCGCATCAATGCTGGCGACGTGTACGCGATGAGCGGCGAGGCAAGGTATGAGTGGACGCACGGCATATCGGGCTCCTGCACAGCCTCTGCCAGTACGCGGCCGAGCGCCGCCCATCCCCGGCGAATATCCGTCACTCTGCGAAAGCTGCTTGGCGGCCTGAATCCATGACCTGCCATGCGGTCCCTCGCACACACGCGAGCGTGTCCAGCCAAACTCTGCCTCGACGCTAGTATTATATATCCGGATGTATTATGCATCGAAGAAAACTGCTATTGGAAGGCCTACACCGCCGGGAAACGTTGATATTTACGATATCTTCGCTTCTATATCTTTATTAGGGTTGTTTGTTGCATATGCGATTCCCAGGCGCCTGTTACCAGGCTGACAGCGGTGCGCTAGTGCGCTTTAGGCACTAATGTCGCGATGACGAATTCCTTGACATATTGTATCTATATAGCGGTTTGCCTATCTCTCCCCATAAAATTTGCTGGAGTAGGTCCTGAATTCCTCCCGCAAATATCAACCTCTCTGCCACCACTAACTACCGGGTGAATCATACTTCCAAGTCCTGATCTCGACACCTCTCACGCGCTAGCAATGACAGCATTCTCTCGCAAAATGATGCTGGCAGCAATAGTACCGCTTACTAATGTCAGTGACGAAATGCCCTGATGAAAGTGAATGAAATAGCAGTAAATGCAATAAAGATAAAATCTGAAGCAACAATAGATGGTTAACGGCGGTCGTTGGTGCCCAGCTTGCGCTTTCCAGAGAACAAGTGCTTGGGCATCTTGGTCATGATAGCGCGATCAGCCTCGCCAGCGCGAGCGTGAAGATTGGTCTTGCGTTGGGCAAGTGCCTTCTTCTTGGCCGCGATCTTGGCCTGCTTGTCCGAAGCCAGGCCCGCCGTAGACCGGTCACGGACTATGCTGATGGCGCGGGCGGCAACGCTGGTACCGCGGGCCAGAGCCTCGGCCGGGCCACGGGACACGGAGCGCGCGCGCTTGCGGGCGATACTCTTGGCGCGGGCCTCGACCTTTTCGGCATCCATGCCCAGCTGCTCTAGGTGGCTGGCAAAATCATCTATCGTTTGCTGGCCCGCCTTTATGGTGCCAACGACACCCGGCCGGTTGTGGCCCTTCTTGAGCCGCGACTCCTGAGCGATTATCTGCTTCTTTTCTCTGATCTTCCGCGCCATGCTTCGAATCTTGGCCTCATCCTCATCTTCATCCTCCTCGGGCGAGTCGTAGATGCCCTCAGCTTCGAGCTTCTCCTCCTCAAGTTCGAGCTCGGCCAGCTTCTCCTCAATCTCGGGGTCAATAAAGTCGGCGACATTCTTGCCGTCCATAATCTCGGGTATAACGTCGTGCTTCCATTCGTCGTTCTTGAGAAGGTACATCTTCTTAAGATCATAGCTATACACGCCAGCACCGCCGCTCTCGGCCTCGAGGTCGCGCTCAAGCTTAGGCCGGTCGGGGTCGCTAAGGTCGTACTTTCTGCGCTTGCGGACTTGCTCGGGAATGCAAGGCGTGCGATCGGTACCTTCACGGTGCGAGGGGACCGACAAGTGGACGCGGTTGAGAATGCTCTGCGCCTTCTGCCCCCGGAGTTTCATAGCGACACGCTGCTGCAGAAGCTTGTCACAGGCGAGATTGCGGGTCTCAATCACGCCGACATCATGATAGGTACTGAGCTGGGAAAGCTCGATGTTATCGTCTTTGCAGACGTCCTCGACCAACTGGCGGTCTTCGGCAGAAATGTCCTCTAGCTTGCACACGTCAATCTTGGAGATAACCAGCAACGTCGGTTTGCTGGTGAACAAAGGCTTGATCGAGTTGAATAGGCTGATCTGCTCCTTGATGCTGTAGCCGCACTGCTCTGAGAGGTCGACAAAGAACAGCACACAGGCGCGGAGGTGCGCGAGAGCAGTGATGGACTGCATCTCGATCGTGTTGCGCTCCTCGAGAGGGTGGTCGAGAATTCCCGGCGTGTCGATGACCTGCCAGCGAAGGTAGTTGTAGTCCATGTGGCCGACGAACAGCGACTTTGTGGTAAACGCGTAGGGCTGGACGTCGACGTCGGCGCGGGTGACCTTGTTAAGGAAGCTAGACTTGCCGACGTTGGGATAACCGCAGACGATCAGAGTGCGCGTGTTTGGGTCGATGGAGGGGAGGCGGCTCAAGTGCTGGCGGACCTGCTCGAGATAGGCCAGCGAGTCCTTTTGGCGCTTCATGATCGTGGCCATGCGACCCAATGCGGCGCGCTTGAGCTGCTTGCAGCGATATAGAGAGTCGCCGAACTTGAGCAAGCGGGTGTAGTCCTTGGCCACGGAGTCGATGAGGTGCCTGGCGGTGTTGATCTGGCCGAGGGCGAGTTTGTAGTGGTCTTTGTCGTAGAGGACATTCATGAGATCAGCATAGAAGGGGTGGACGTTCTAACATCGCATGACGCAAGGCAATCTTTCGGTTAGACTACGAGGGCCACGCCCTACCACGTTTGGCAGAGTATCAGAGCCCAAAGGGGAGGGGAGAGAGGCTTACATCAAGCTGGGGGAAGTCGGAGAGGATCTGGTTGAGTTTTTCGTCAAAAGTGTCCTGAGTGAACTTGACCTTGCGCATGTAAAACTGGCGGATGCGGCCGATATTGTAGCCAGGGTGCACGACAGTCGGAGTCTTGCGCTGGGTCCGAGACAGCACAATATCCAGGAAGTCACTGGCACTTGGCACAGACTGGATACGCTTAAAGTTGTATATCGACGCCATTTCCGCTACGGGGTTCGAGTGCTAGGATACGAGGGAGCGAGCAACCCTAGGGGAGCAAGAGGTTGGGTTTATAGAGACGCGGTGTGGGTGGTTCGGCGCGTACCCTGACCGATGCCGTCGAGTAGTTAGGTAAAGTGCACGAAGCGGGGGGATGGAAAGGAGGGAGGAAAAGAAAGCATGGGATGATGAAAGTCGGGAGGGGCGGGACCAGACCAATATAGCGTGAAGAAAAAAGTGTGTCAACTGCCAGCGTGCAATGGTCCAGATCAGATCAGCCACGTAAAATAAAAAATTTTCGAGACTCGGGCGGCAACTGCCTATAATAAAAATGGCGGCAAAAATGCATCGACCGGGAATCGAACCCGGGTCTGCCGCGTGGCAGGCGGCAATTATACCACTAAACCATCGATGCGCGTATCTACAAATTTCCGTCAAATTGAAACTTATTTAAATAATTCTGGACTAAATGCTCACATATGACACCCCAGTCTCGAGTTGCGTGCATTCAGATGTTAGGGCGATGAATGAGGGATCCCACAGAGGCTACACTCCCCCCCATTGCCCCCACGCTTATATCTGGTAAAGGTATGCCCATTCATTACACTCGTTACCGTTCATATTTGGCAACTCAAAAATAAATATTTTCAATATACCCAGGTCCTAGGTGTATTTGGTAGGCTTTCTCTTTTCTAAGGTTTAAGGGTTATCGGCAGCAGAATGAACCATAGTCTGCGATAAACTATTGGTGCAGGTCTGGGCAAACTATGCTTTCTGAAGCTAACAACGTAAAGCATCTCTATCTACAAAAGAATGATGGCTGAATCCCCTTTCTTACACGCGTCTTACCAAAATTGATAGGGCGTATGCATAAGGTACCCAAAGCACAGCAATAGATGCAGAACCCTATTGAAACAGTATCAAAACTCGATAATGATGATAAAATGTAAATACTGGTATACTAATGTGGGAGTAGGATAACGAGAGCACCACAGCGCGCAGCTAATGGTTTGGACGGTCGGTGTGGTAGGGACTATATGGTTCCTTGGAGTAGGGGGGAGCGCCAGCAGTGGTGGGATTATTCGGATATTCGGCGGTGGAAGTGGCAGCAGGCGGCGGGGGTGGGGGTGGGGGCGGGAACTGGCCGTTGTGGTAATAGCCAGGTGGGTACTGGGGAGGAGGGTACTGGTGCTGCTGCTCCGGAGCGAAGGGCTTGTAAGGCTGCTGTTGGTAGGGCGGCGGATTGGCAAGAGGGGCAGGCTGCGAGAACGTAACGAAACCTGGCACAATGGACACGGCAGCAAGGACGGACTGAGGGTTCTCCCGGATAAACCTGATCCGTGACTGGTAGTAGTGCCAGGTGTATGCGATGCAGATGATGTCGATGACGAACAACGCGATCATCAAAAAGACATACCATTTCCTCGCCCAGTCGACATCCTCGTATCCGTGATTGTTCCTAATGGTGACAAGGAAGTAGATGAAGAGGGCAAGAAAGATGAACATGACGGTGGTCTGGAACCCAATCGAGAAGTTGCGGTAGCGCTTTAGGCGGGCGATCATCTCTTCGGCGGTGTGGTTTCTGGTAGGGGTGCTGGTAGGCTCGCCTTGGTCAAGGTATTGCTGGCCCGGGATGGCATAATCTGTGTGTTGTCGCTGTTGCTGCGGCGAAGCTGCGTATGCGTCGGCCATTTCGGAGGGTTGTGTGAATGCGCAGGCTTGTGCGTAGGCGCGAGTATGTGAAGTGGTATTATATAGGTCGAGCTGCAGAAAAGCGCATGCAATGTAGGGAGCAGCCCAATGCGTATACGCGGACGAAGGCGGCAGCGGCGGCTGTATTCGAGCTAGAGTGTGATATATATATATATGGTGGTCCTGGCGAGGTTAAAAAGGATAGTGGCAAACCCCGAGTACAGCACCCGAGAGCAAAGCAAAATATGTGAAAGGCAGCAGGCAAGCGAGGAAAGTTACTTGGAATGAAACACCGTTAAAGCTATGGGCTTTGGTGTGTGAGAGTGTGGGAATGCTTTGACGGTTTTGGGGGTAGTGGCGAGATGACGCAGGCAATGCCAAGGGCAAGCGCAATGAAGATCTACCGTTTTATTTCTAGAAACAGAAAAATGCCTTACTCCTCTGTACGAAGAGGGCGAATGCTGCCATTCACCCACCACCCTTCCAGGTACATCAACAACGCAGCGGCGATCTCGAATCAAAGTTTGTCAGATTAAATCGTTAAAGCGATTGGCAGCCTTACTAGCCTGTTACATCTGGTAAACCACTCCTCCTGATCCCTCAGGATATGCCTGCTCCATGCACTCAGTGCGCCGCTCATATCCCAGTGCGCCTGTCTGACCAGACAACCATGGCTGGAGCAATTCTTCTATGTAAGGGACGGATCTGGGTCGCCCATCCGGACGCTCACCAGTCCTGATAAATGATAGCGATGTGGCTACACTCACTGCTAGGCCAAGAATGCGTGTAGGTCGATCAGGTGCGGCTGTCCACATATTGATTCCGTGACATTGCTCTCCGCTGCCACAATGGTGTGGTGCTACTACCGGGCGGTCACTATATTCCATTTAGTGAGTTGTCTACCAAGCCCAACCTAAGCGCCTTTCTATATACAGCCTATTAGCCAGTCCCGAGTAAGGCGAGGTGCGCACCTCCTTCCTACATGATACCCCATAGTCGACTCATGCTCCACGCAATTCAGCGGGTGTAAACGCGTGTATTCTACTGGCGAGTGGGGGAGGCTTATTTGCAAAAGACACGGTGACGTGCTGACGGGACAGATACACACAGAAAACATACTGGGAGGAGGCCACGCCGCAAGCCGCTAGCGTCTGCCCGGATTTTGAATGCGCGTCTACTTTCGGGAGACCTCATACAGGGGCTTGACATCTCGACTGTCCGTGTGCCGATTAAAGTTGATCGAGCTAACCTCGGTCGCTTGGTCGTAGTTGAGGTACTTGATGAATGTCTCGCTACAAGCAGAGCATGAATAAGTGCATCGAGGTCAGCTGCTGCCTAAACTCTCAAATGCACAAAAGGTGTGAGGAATCATGGCAGGTATACTGAGCACGGACTGCGCACTTACCCAATCTCCTTGATGGCTACGCTGTCGTCGGTGTTGCGAGTCCACAGTGAAAAGCGGTAGCAAACCTTGCGGTTGGAGAAGATTACACCGCAGATATTGTCGCCATAGGCGTAGTTCTCGCCGATCAGCGAGAGCATCTAATTGACACCCATATATATAATAGATGTAGTTCATATATGACATCCTAGTGTAGCAGTATCTTTTGTCACAACCGCCGTTGCCGCCTTACAATGTTGATCCACTTGTTGTGCACGTCTTTGGCCTGCCGGCGTTGGTATTCGGCCACCCACCGCCCGCCATTCTCGTTGGCCGGGTCCTCCCACATCGGCTTAATCCCCTCCTTGAAGAAGTGGTAGTTTGCGCCCAGCGACAGGTCTTCGAACGGAGTGATGTTGTTAAACACCCTGCATCACACAATAGCCCAGCACATTAAATTATTCCACGCCATATTCTCATCTAGTGCCTCCCCCCTCCCCCTTCTCGCGCTTTGGCAAAACTTGATGCCCGTGCACTCATCGAGGGTACTTACCCCCAAAAGTCCTCGACTGTTCTGAAGGTTATCACCGGCTTGACGTTCTGCGTCCATGTCTTTTCAGTCTGTTTCCGTTCCGGCAAATCGAACCACAACGTCCACGCATTCTGAAGCGGATGCTTGACATTGAACTTGCTGGGATCATCTAGCGCCGTAATTATCGTCTGCTCCTCCACCTCCTCTCCCCTCTCATCCTTTGTGCGGTAATTATTGGTACTCGATACGTCGGCCATTTCCTGCGCCTTGACTATTGCTGTACTAAATTAGTAGTGCTTGTTTGAGAGGTAAGTAAAAATGACAAGGCAACGCAGCAGCGGTCACTGCTGCTCAGTATTGTCAGAGTTCTAATCACACCCTAACCAAATGCCGACGATTACACCAGGGATCACCAACTAAAATTTAGCATTCCATCAACAACCCGTCGTCGCCCAATCGTCATCGCCACCACAATTGTCAGGCGAAGCTTGGACCACTACACCAACACTGGGCAGTGGCCGCAACCGAATCCGCCCCACTGACCCTCTCCCGACTTGGCGCATGCCCCAGGTAGTAGCAACTCACCATGCCAAACCGCGTGTAATCGGTCTGCGCTGGCATCCCACTGCTCAGGAGGCTTTCTCACCCTGTACAACATGTTCCTTGACAAATATCAACAAGCTGTTCACTAGTGTTATAATGCAGTACACATTGTAACTAAACTGTCGACGATATTATATGCATAGGGTTGCATCAAATGGCTCTATATATAAATGAAAAGATGATGTGCCAGCCAAGCATGTCTTCACGTCTATCTCCGACCACGGAAGGCGCCCCCGCGTCCCCTGCCGCGGGTAAAGCCGGAGCTACCCCCACCACCGCGTCCCCCGCGAGGGCCACCGCTGCCACGACCACCGCGGCCGCCGTAGCTACTACGGCCCGCACTCGCGCCGTTGCCGTTTGCATTGGCGCCGTAACCCGGGTCTTCGAGATCGGGCAGCGCCTCACAAACCTGGAGCGACGAGTTCTGGTTGTCGTTCCATTTTATCCCCGTGATCCATAGCTCGCCGTCCTTAAGCTCGACCAAATCGGATTTGATGTCAAATACCACCTGCTTGTGGTCCTTGCTTATCCGAAACACCTTGGCGTCCTCTTGGCTGAGGTCCGGGAAACAACGTGCCAGGATTCCTCTCACGTACCCCGGGCCGCGGATCTCGTAATACAGCGTGCAGACCAGTGTCGTGTGCGTTGGCAGCCCTAACAGCAGACTGCGCGACTTGACCCCGCTCGCGTACCCCGCAATCTGGGCCAGCGCCGCCGACAGAGCCTTCGACGCATCGCCGTCGAACGACTCATCAATAAGCTGCTTCGCCGACTCCATAAAGTACTCTGTGGCCTCGCTGCTGCACTTTGCTACCTTGCTTGCTGCCTCCTTGCTGGTCGCCGAGATTATGTCCTTGGTCGAGGGTGGCGAGACAATCTCGCAGTTGATGCCCGCCTTGCGCTTGACCAGTTCCACCCACCACTTGTCCACGGGCTTGAAGCACGTCACGCACACGCCTGACCTGCCCGCGCGTCCCGTGCGACCCGAGCGGTGGATGTATGTCTCGATGTCTTTGGGTGGTTCCGAGTTGATGACCAGATCCACTTCGGGAATGTCAAGTCCACGGGCGGCCACATCGGTGCAAATTAGGACATTGACCGTGCCGTCGCGGAACCCCTGCAGGGTCAGCTCGCGCTGGGATTGGGCAATATCTCCGTGCAGGACCTGTGCGTTGTGGAGCTTGTCGTGCAGGGCGAGCTCGTTTGC